CCCCCCCCCCCCCCCCCGCACCCGCCAGCGCAAACTCACTCTGATCATTGACCGGCTTGCGTTATATTGGAACCTTTCCGCCCCCGGTCCGCTTGTCAGGTCCCCCCTCTCCCCCCCCAAATGGCCGAACAAACAAGTTTTTTTGCGTATAGGAAATCTATCAACGGAGTAGCTAAGAAGGAAACGGCAACCACGAGGGCAGCCAGAGAGACAAACGCCTCCCCAAGATGCAAGGAGCAACGACGACAAAACCACCAACGAACGGCAGTGGAAACAGCACCAGCAGCGGCAGCAGCAGCAACAACAACAGCAGCAGCAACAGCAGCAGCAGCGGCGGCAGCAGCAGCAACAACAGCAGCAGCAGCAACAGCAGCAGCAACAGCAACAGCAGCGGCAGCAGCAGCGGCAGCAGCGGCGGCGGCAGCAACATCGACACCAACAACACCAAGGACAAGAAACAGGCACACAAAGACACCTACGACAACGACAGCAGTGTCAACAAATTCTCACCCGCCACCACCCGAAGACCCTCTCCACCATCGCTCCCACTTGCAAAAATCCCAGCATGTTGAACAGGAAATGCACCACGCCCGCGTGCAGGAACATCGCTGAGCGGGGGGGGTTCCATGGAGATGCATCGCACACGCGAAGGAGACGGCGGGTGTTACGATTGTTACGATTGCGAGGAGAACAGGGGGTTCATGAAGTGTGGTTCATGAAAAAAGGGAGGACAAAAAGGCGTTCTATTCTACTGCCCGATCAGATGAGCACGGCGCACGCCAGAGCAATTCCACAAAACCAGCACTGCATGGAAACCGTGCGAAATAAAAGGAAACAAGGATGCAGCGAACCTAAATAGCGAAAAAACTACCGGATGCAAAATGACGAATGTGCACACAAGAACAACAAAATATCAACCACCTGTAGCGCAGGTGTTGGAAACACAGCAAGCCTGCTATTAAACGAGGATGGGCAAAACACGTACGTAGCACAGATCACCCCCTGCACCGCACACAATCTTCCTTGTCCTTAGGGGGGGGGATCATGAACGCTCCCGCAAATCAGTCGTTTCACTACCACAGCAGTACTTCATGCTCTTCTCCATGTACTCAAGTCCCTTGTTCATTGAGGTACCCTAGGGCTTACCCGCCGCCTGCAGCTGGTACCTATTACCATTCTTCAAATAAGAGAGCCCCGGGTCGGAAGTGACACACACGGGTCCAAACAAATTCCCCGTGGTAGATGTAGACAGAGATGCACGCCCCAAACAAGCGTCCATCAATATCACGAAACCCCTTTCCAAGAACCACACCGACGCCCGGGCTCTCCAGGCTACTAAATACCGATTACCGCTGTATTAAGGAAAACTTACACGGAAAATGCAATCATCGAAAAAATTGTCGCCTTGTGAGTGTACTCCTCGTCCAACCGCTACTGACAGTTTTCATCGCACGACTCCCACACAAGGCAGCACATAATCCATCCCACGCACGTGAGATGAGTCGCCACCAGTCCCCGTTGTCGACGATCAGATCCGTCCGCTTCGCGCCGGCCTCGATGAGGGTCTCCACGCTGGGCCCGTAGGAGGGGTTTTCCTCCAAAGACTCCGCCTCCCAGCCGTTCAGGCCGAACTCCCAGAACAGCAGAATGAGGCAGATGAGGAACATGAGCGGCGTGAAGATCAGGCTGCGGTAGGTGGGCACGGCGTATTCCCCGGTGGTCCCGTTCTCGTTTCGCGGCCTATCGTCGAAGGGGTCCCCGTGTGTTCGTTGCGCCTGTTGGGGGGGAGGGGGGGGGGGGGG